TAACTGCTGTCTTCAGGGCTGATGCAGAACTATCCTCGTTTTTTTTATGGATGGCATGTCCCGTGGCCATACATATTGTCACCCAACAGAGATTGTAGTTCCACAAAGAGGAGAGACCTCACCTTTAGCTAAATCCTCCCTGTCCTAGTGGACTGCTTCCCTATTGCCTCTATCTCAGACCCCAGGTCATTGCTGTCTAGAACATCCAGAGGAAACCAACTTTCTTTTTCTTTTCATTTATTTATTTGCTTGTTTGTTTTTAGGCGGGTCTCACTTTGTACCCCTGGCTGGTCTGGAACTTGCTATGTAGACCGGGCTAGCCTCAAACTTACAGAACATCTGCCTGCCTCTGCCTCCCTGGTGCTGGGGTTAAAGGTGTATGATAGTCTACCTGCACGCAAAGATGACTTTGAAGTGGCAGAGCTGACCTGGAACCCAGGTCTCTGTGCTTGTCCTCTAGCGCTGTTGAGTCATGTTGGGTTCCAGGCTCGGATGTGCCTGGGAATGGAGGGGAGACTCTCTGGGTTTCAGCCAAGACACCTTCCCCAGGGCCAGGATCAATCCAACCTGTAGAGACCTTGGATGGATGGATCCCTTTCTATCTGTTCACTTGTGGCTTCTTCATAGACAAGAGTGTTCCTTGCTGCTAGCTTCATTCTTCCCTGCTGCAAGCCAGCATGGTCTGGGATGACGGGGGAGAGGGGGTCATCCCTGTGGCTCCTCCCTCCTGGTTCTCCCACAGCCATTTTGAAAGCTGTAGAGATCAGGACTACTCTCCTAGCCTTCTCAGAGCTGACAAAATTCTGTATGAACTGAAAGCTGACCCTTCCTTGGAAATTAAGGATCTAGGGAGCCCAGTGGGCCACAAGCAGAGTGTGCATCATCTTTTCAGTGATGTGGTTTGATGAGTCACACAATCAATAGTGAGCTAGACAATCACAGATTGACTCTCAGCTCCAGCACTGGGCAAGGCAAAGACTTGCCCAGCCTTAGGCTTTAAGTAACACATGAGGAAGATTCCTCTATCACCGAGTTGCTGTGTCAATTAACTAAGGCAAGCTTGCTGGGAATGCTGTCACTTGCCTATAATCCTGGCATTTGGAAGGTAGAGACAAGAGGATCCATGAGCTGAACACCACCTTTGGCTATGTAGCAAGTACAAGCCCAGTCTGAGTTGCAAGAGACCCCGTCTTAAAAAAATAAACAAGAAAAAAAAAAAAAAACAGAACAAACAACAACAAAAAACAAAAACCACAGCCCTTGGAAGGCTAAGGCAGGAGGACAGAAAGCTTAAAGCCATGTTGGGCAATATGGGAAAATTTAATAATAACAATAGTAATAGTAAATGACACAAGGTCTTGCAGGGGAGTGATTAGCAGTCTGGACCTTTAGCACCTCCTTCTGCTGGTCCCTGTATCACACTCTGCCCTTGAGTTAGCCCCAGATTAAATTCAGCCCTGCAAAGAGAAGCCCATGACCTCCACACCAAAACACGTGGGACCCAGGGACATGTCACAGGCCCTCGGGCCTCCAAGAGCCAACCAGGGTATCTGGAGATACCTCCTGCAGAAATGGCTTATCTCCCAGAGATTATCTTACCCTCGCTGACAGTGGGTGGCTCCCGCAGGGAACAAGTGGCAGCCGATTTGGGAATCAATTTGCTCGTTTGATATGCTATCTCGATTTCATTTAACCAAGTGCTTCGGTCCCCCTAGATAACACAATCAGCTCAATCGACAGTGACGGGAGGTGCCCATTAGCTCCACTCCATTGCCCAGCACCCACCTGACTGCTGGCAGGACAGCTGTGCCAGCTATGGTCATTCCTGAGGCAGAGGCTCTCTGTGTGCTCGCTCTCTTTCAGGGTACCCACAGGTGCCCACCCTGACAGCCACAGGACGTGCACCCCTGGAAAATAGAGCTGGAACAATAGGGAGCTCCAGGGGTTCCCGCCTGTGTGTCGTGCTAAGAATAGGCACTGCTTGCCTGGCAAAGACAGAGGACATCTGGGGTGGTGGGGAAGAAATTAGCCTCGTCCTGGCATGTCACACACACTACCTCAATACCTCCCCTCCACGTCACTGATTTAGATGAAAGACACCCAGCACTGTCAGACCATCTGCTCTGGGGGATAGGAGCCTGGCTGGGTATCTAGTTTGGACACTGTGATATCAGTGCTTGGCACAAATGCCAGGACACAGATGGGCTGCTTTAGTGGGCATCGCAGGATGCTGCATTTGGTTCAGGTTTCTCAACGCTTTGGATGGCCTGAACCCTGCGACCCAGAAGAATGGAGAGCCCTCCAAACTAAAACCTGCCTTTCCTACCTCAATCTTCTCCCTCCTCCCATTTGTCTGACACATCAGAGCTGCGATGGATGGTCTCCTGAACAGAATGTAACCCATCTGCCATTTCTTCATGCCTGCCAATCCATGGGGTGGGTGTGAGCCTGTGGAATGACGGCCCCACCAGCAGACTCGTAGAGGGACCGGCCTCCCTGCAAACTCTGCTGTCTCACTCTTGTTGTACTTCATTTCCAGATCCTCGAAGCAGCCATTTTGAGAGCTGTAGAGATTGGAAACACCGCCCCTGTCTCCATTCCCTGCCCCCCCCCGCCCCCGACTTCTCAGAGCTGACCAAATTCTGTATGAACTGAATGTGGAACCAGAATCCGCTGACCTTTTCTTGGCAGTTAAGGATCTAGAGAGTCTAGTGTGCCACAAGCAGAATGTGCGTCATCTCTAGTGATGTGGCTAGATGAGTCAATGTAATCAATAGCAGAGCAATCTATAATGCTGACCAGAAATAAGTTTTGTTTTCTGTAGCCTGATTGGTTGGTAATGGCTGCTTAGATAACTATTGAGAAGGATTCTGAAGTCTCATGTGTTCTTAGCAAGAAATTATCAAAATTGATCAGGGACATATGCCATGAATGGAGGGGTAGCATCACATTCTGTTTAAGATGGAGCCTAGTATCCTGAGAGATGAAAAGACATGGGTGTGGCCAGGCAGTGGTGGCGCACACTTTTAATCCCAGCAGAGGCAGAGGCAGGTGGATCTCTGTGAGTTCAAGGCCAGTCTGGTCTACAAAGAGAGTTCCAGGACAGTCTCCAAAGCTATAGAGAAACACTGTCTCTTAAAAAAAGGGGTGGGGTGGTAGTGATAATGCATGGGTGCATGCCTGGTATTCAATTCTCAAGTGCTGTGAGTTTCAGGCCAGTGTGAAGCCCAAGGAGTGAGACTGTATCTCAAAACAAAAGAAAGAGAAAATTCAATGAGACATATCAAGTGGGAAAAGGAAATAGCATTTCCTCAATCAATCCTAAAAACGAAGCTCCACTTTACAGATAGGAATCCAAGGTTTAATGGATGCAGGTTCCTTACCCAGACCACATAGCCCCATAGAGATGGACCTGAGATCCAAAGTCCCATCTGCTCCAGAACTCGGGCCTCCCATTCTATTATTACTGCTCTAGAAGGACCATAAAAATCAGGAAAGGAAGCCAGGGTGTGGTGCACACCTTTCATGCCAGCACTCACGAGGCAGAGGCAGGTGGATCCCTGTGAGTAAGAAGAGGCTAGAACAGAGTGAGTTCTAGGACAACCAGAACTACTTAGAGAAACCCTGTTTATAATAATGATAATAATAATCAGGAAACGGAGGACAGAAACCATTCCCTGAGACATTAGAGAACTGGATTCCATGGGGGGCCAAGCAAAGTAGCAAGCATGAAAAGATCTAAAATAAGATTCCAAATATGTGATACATTTCCCGAAACAAATGGCCAGCAGTTTCTCTGGGAATAGGACATGAATTTGAATGTTTTGTAATTTCAGCCAGAAAAGTCACTGTTGTGAAGGACATCACTCTTGTTAAAATCCTTGCTTCTCCCACTTTACAGGTTATATGACTCTGAACAAAGCACTTCCGTATGTGTGGGGTCTCTCTATGTAGTCCTGGCTATCCTACTCATTATATAGACCAGGCTTGCCCTAAATCCTTTGTCCCCTGTATGCTTGAACCAACAGTGCCCCTACATATGTTTTTCTTTCTTTCTTTCTTATTTTTTTTTTTTTTTTCAGTATAGGGTTTTTCTGTGTAACTAACCTGACTGTCCTGGAACTCACTCTGTAGACCAAGCTGGCCTTGAACCCACAGAGATCTGCCTGCCTCTGCCTTCTGAGTGCTGGGATTAAAGGGTCAAAGACATGGACCAGCACAGCTCACCCACCTCTGAGCCAGTGCTTCGATCCCAGCACTCAGGAGGCAGAGGCAGGAAGATCTCTGTGAGTTTGAGGCCAGCCTAGTCTACTGAGCAAGTTCCAGGACAGGCTCCAAAGCTACACAGAGAAACCCTGTCTCAAAAAAGAAAAATCAAAACCAAACCAACAAACAAAACTAAAAAGACAGCGCCTCCTGTCCTAGGCTGGCCTCAAACTCATTATGTAATTGAAACTGACCTTGAATTTCTGGTCTTCCTTCTGGGATTGCAGGTGTGAGCTATCACACTTGGTTTATACAGTGCTGGGATCGAACCCAGCACTTTATGCTTGTTAAGAAAGCCTTCTTCCAGCTGAGCCTCAGCCCCAGACCTAGCACTTGCTTTTCATGACTCTCTCCTCATTAGTAAAATAAGGTCTTTGAGGAAAATTAGGAATGGCAAATATATATTTGGCACATTCTGGCTTCCTAGCATTCTGTGTTGAGAAGGATTCTGAAGCTGAATCTGGAAACTGCAGGAAATAGTACAATGATCGATTTGTAATGTCTGTCTTGGTTGCTGGAGGAGAAAGAATAGCTCATGTGCCATTTTTGAAGTATGTGATATCACCTCGCTTCTAGCTCTAAAATTTTATGGCTCCATGATTCTCAACAGTGAGCACACTCACCAAGGCTCTCTGTCAAAACCAAGATGGATCTTCCCCTGCCTGTGCTGGGTGGGACGCTGTTCACTGTGGCGTAGCAGGAGAACCTCTGATCATTCATTATTATTATTTCAGGACTCTCCTCAGAGGCTCCCATCGTGGGGGAAGGTCAGGCCACAGGCATCAAGGAGATGGATGGGGAGCTGACCGCAGCCCCAACACCTGAGCAGCCAGACCGAGGCGTCCACTTCGTTACCACAGCTCCCACCCTCAAACTGCTCAACCACCACCCACTTCTGGAGGAATTCCTTCAAGAGGGAATAGAAAGGACTGAAGGAGCCCTGAGGCCGGCACTGCCCTTCCAGCCCGAATCACCTACACCCTCCACTCCAAGCCCCCTCCCGCGCCTGGCCAACCAGGACAACCGCCCGGTTTTTACCAGTCCGACGCCCGCTGTGGCTGCAGTACCCACTCAGCCCCACTCCAGGGAGAAGCCCTGGAACCCAGAGTCGGAGTCCCCTGAGCTTCCCATAACATCCCCTCTACCTCCAGGGCCTAGTATGGCAGTGCCCACCCTGCACCCAGAGGACAGACCCAGTACGACACCCACCAGCCGGACATGGACTCCGACCCAGGAGGGTCCTGGAGACATGGGCAGACCTTGGGTTCCAGAGGTCATGTCTCAGACCACAGGGCTTGGTATCGAGGGGACCATTGCCACTTCCACGGCTTCAGGGGATGACGAAGAGACCACCACCACCATCATTACCACTACCATCACCACAGTGCAGTCACCAGGTCAGCTACCTGCTGGCTGGCAGGGCTGAAAGTGAGGGTGGAGGGCACACCATGATCCCTAAATGCCTGTTTCTGACATTGCACCAATCTACCCTACCCTTTGCACCAAGGGTCATCTTATATAAAGTAGGTGGATTGGAACTGTATGATAGATCCAAGTTCTAATTCTTCCAACTCTAACACAACCCTAGGGGGTTTATTCAGTCTCTCTGAGTCTCAGATGTAAAGGAATGGTTAAGAAGCCTACCTCGGGCTGGAGAGATGGCTTAGCAGTTAAGAGCACTTGGGGTTCCTAGCACTGACATGGACACTAACAACCATCTGTAAATCTAGTTCCAGAAGATCTGATGCCCTCATCACACACACACTTCAGCTATAGCTGAACCTACCCCACCTTAGCTTCATGTCTCCTCCTGTCTCCCAGGCCCCTGTAGCTGGAATTTCTCAGGCCCAGAGGGCTCTCTGGATTCCCCCCCGGCCCCCAGCTCACCCTCTGATGTTGGCCTGGACTGTTTCTACTACATCTCTGTCTATCCTGGCTATGGAGTGGAGATCAAGGTGAGTGATCTGGATCCATCAAAAGTAAAGCTGCCCTTTTCCAGAAAGGGGCCTAGTATGGGGAGAGATGGAAATGCTTAGGGTCAGGTGGAGGGGATACCTATGGCTTGAGATAGACCAAAACCATGGTTGGATTCCGCCTTGTGCACCTGCAGCAATGCCTGGGAGAGCTCCAGGAAACAACAAGTGCGCTTAGCCTCTTCCTTAGGCTTGATAAATGGCTTAAGAGAACCTGAAGAGTAACTTAGCCTTGGGCAGTCAGGAGACTGGGTAAGTATGAGTTCTGCATCTGAAGCCACGTGGGAGTGGAGATAATACAGGACCACCTGTGAAGAAGTTGTAGCGCCTCATTCATGCACCTGTTTCTGTCTTCATTCCTGTCCATAAATACGTAGCAAGTGCTGGGTCCTGGGGAAGATGTGGGGAAGATTGACATGGCTATACCATGGTCAAATCTGTCCCTAGTCTCCTCACAGCTCATCCTTTCCTTGGGATTCAGAAGGCCCTGAAGTCCCAGACCTGAGCCTGAACATCTTCACCAAAGTTCTAAAGGCTTTTCAGCTTCTACAAGGCCAGACCTTTCCTTTTATGGCCCCAAACCTGCTTTTCATCCCATTACATCCAGGTCAGAACCCTGGAATAGGGCCACCATGATACTATGTGGACTTTTGTCTCCTGAGCAACTTAGGGCCCTCTTGGTATTTTTCTTAGTCCAACCAAACTCTTGTCATCACAACTGCCCTGGAAACCCTCATACTCCCCTGCTTCTCTTCCTCCATCACCCCAAACACTGTGGCCCACCAATCATCCTTCCCTGTGACTTAGTGGCCACCTCACATGTTCCCTGTTACCCTCCCCTCCCCATACGGCAGTCATTTTCTCAGATGAGAATATAACACTCTTGTCTCCTACCCTGCCCCAGTGGGCCTTGCATCTGGGCAGCCCTGGGCCCACCTTGGCTACTTCTTGTCTCATACCCAGCTCCCTCTTTGTTATGAACAGCCTGTAATTGATGGAATGGACTACAGCTTCTTCTCCCATGAGCCCCGGTGACACACACCTGTCAGTTCCTTTGACTGGACAAACGTAGGACCCCACATCTGGTATCGGTTTCTCTGGGCGTTCTTACCGTATCTCTTGCCATTCTCCTTCTATGCTCTGTTTGTAGCTGTCCACCCCCCTGGTTGGACTGTGAGATGCTAGAAGGGCACTTTGTAGTACAAGGGATCAGCATGAGTGTAGAGGAAAAAACACGGACATTTGACTGGCGTCTTAAAGAATGTTGAACTTGGAAAGGAAAGCATTTTACCTATCTGAGGGAAGTGGGCAGAGAGCCAGGAAGCCACAGGAAGGGAGGTCAGGGCCTGAAAAGCACCTCCATGCTCCCTACTCACCAACTCTGGACCTGCTTCCCACCTGTCCCAGCTCATACAGGCCCTGGATCTGGGCAGGCAGCCAGCACCTCCAGCTGTCCCCTCTGGGGCAGTCGGGTTCAGGTCTCAACCACGAAAGGGAGGCAGGGGCTCTCCTACTGGTATTAGCCTCCCCTCTTCTTTCTGTAAGGATTTATTCCTGTTCTACAGAGCTCCAGGCCCCTCATTCTGGGCTGACTAGAAGGGCAATTAGAAGCAGCCACCCCCCCCTCAAGCCATTAGCACTCAGCACCGCTTAATTAAGGTAATTAATGTAAAATCATCACCAAATGAGAGGTGGCACCGGCTGTGGCTCACAGGGTAGAAGGTGCCAGCTGCAGGTGTGAGGAAGGAGATGGGAGGGGGCAAATACCAGACTGGATACCCCACTGCAAACCTGGACTAGTTTTCCCTGTCCCTCAACTCTGCCACCCAATAAAATCTTACAGCCCTGGTCCCACCATCTTGGGGGGGGGCAAGATGTCCTGATGCCTCTGCCTGCACCTAACCTGGCCCTAGCCTAAGTCCAAGTCCCACCCTGGTTGCCCACTCCTCAGGCAGCCCTGGGTCTGGCACTGCCACACTTTTTCATCAGAATGCAGAAGCGGTTACCAGGCAACCTTGAGACGAAAGCCACAGCCCTGGACTGCCATCAGGAAACATGGCGTGTGCTGGCTCACCCTCCATCTCATCCCCATACAAGCAGAGTCCTTGAGGACTATGCAGCCTGAGACAGAATCTGAAGGGGGGGTGGGCACAGTGACCACAGCCAGATCACCACCTACTTTTTGGAAGGAACAAAAAAATGGAACAGCAGGAAATAAGGTTGGGGCTATTCCCGACTGTCTCCCTTAGATCTAGACCTCTCAGATACACTGCACAGGCCACTTAGGACCTGTAGAGTTACCGATGCTATAGGCCAATATACCCACTACATAACTGGGAAAACTGAGGCTTGGGCTAGGAAAGGTATTTGCCTAAGTTAATTGTTAAGCCTTTGGTTAACATGTTTGCTTCACAAAATTTGAACACCATGTCCTAGTCATCCCTGTTCGGGGGCGGGGGCGGTGGTGGAAATTATACGCAGTGACCATGGGATGCTCAGGGCAGGTGGGATTGGAACACAGGTGGAGTTCCAGGCTCTGGGGTCCTTCCTCAACCTGGAAGGGCTTTCTAGAACTAAACACACCCATTTGGAAGCCTGTAGGGTGACAGGCTAGCAGCCACTCACTGCCTGGGCTGAGGAGCAGGTGTGACAGGCTTGGCCCATGAAGGTTTCCCAGGGAAAACATTGTCATTGGTGGATGCAAGAGGGACAGGGATGGGACTCAACTGTGGGTGACCCCAGTGTGGACCAGGATCACCAGGGTGTGTGCCAGTTGGAGGTGGGCAAGGGAGGTGTGAGGAGCCAGGGAAAGGATTGCACTAAGTGCCCACAAAGCACACTCCTCACCAGGCCGCCAGGTCCCAGGCGCAGGCTGCCCTCTGATCTGCCCTTTGTTGTTTTGTTTAAGGTGCAGCCTGGGAATAACAGAATCTCTGAAAGTCTAGTTCTCCCAGTTTGGGCCACAAAAGGCCTCCCCGGTCTGTTCCACTCCATGCCTGCCCCTTTCTCCATGATGTTGTAGTTCTCCATGCCCTCTGAGGGTCTGATCTAAGAGGAGGCCAGGCCAGGTCCTCCATAGTCCCAGGAGTCGGACTTGCTACAGCTGGGCATTGGGCACTGAGCTGGGCTCTTTCCTGAAAGATCCAGAGAAATCCCTTAGGTCAGAGGACATGGGCCCTGTGACCCACATGGGTCCTGTGCCCTCCCTGGGTAGCCAGTCTCTCATGAGCCTGGTGCCTGCCTCTCACTCTATTTGGCATTCTAAGAGCCTTCCCGCTGCCAGCCTCCATCTTGGCTTGGCTGCTCTCTGTACCATCTGGAACCCAGGCACAGCTGCCCACCATCCCTGCCCTCATACCCAGGTGGCCCATTGGCATACAGCTTCCTCAGGCCAGCTGTCAGTTTGATGGGCAGATCACTCTACCCCACTGAGCCAGGTCAGGACCAGCTCTGATGAGAGCATCAGTGATGTGTGATGGGTTGGGATGGTGGTTCCAGGCAGTCTTTTATTTCCTGACTGTGGGAGGGCCCATCGTGAGGGCTGTGAGAGTAACTGGAAAGTCTGGCTCCATGGATTTAGGTCCTTCATCCCATCCCTAAAGCAGTCCCCTACCCCATTGCAACACACACACACAAGGTATAGAGAAGTTACCAGATCTCAAGGGACTGAGATCTGGCTCTGCCTTCTGTAGCCCAGCTCTTAGTGACTGGCTAAGTCCCTGACCTTCTCTGGGCCTCAGTATCTCCCTCCATAAAAGGTTAAACTAAATCAGTCCCTGCCACTGAGTCCCTCCGATTCAGGACACTCTTCCCTAAGCTCAGCTGCACAGTAGTCCCTTGGGCCTTGGCCTTGCTTCCTGGTAGCTATGAGATGCAGCCTTTGCTAGATGTGGGAGTGGCCAGAATCTGGGGGGGGGGGTGACACACAGGCTCACCCTGGTGTCCACTAAAAACAACGATAGCATCATCTTACTTGCCTAGGAGGGTCATACCGCTGCAATGTGTATATTGGTCAGATGCTACTAATTAGACATATGACCTTGGGACTGCAGAAGGCAACCTGAGCCCTCCTCCCTTTCATCCAGGAAGAACCATCCCCCCTCAAAATGACCACGTTTTCTCTTTGATCAACCCCCTGGTCTTCTACAGGCAGGGTAGTGCTAGACAGCCCAGAGTCCTATGGGAATTGTCCTCCAAGCTCTCTGCTTCTGGGCCCGCTGCCGGGCTCCTAGGGCCCCTCCTGTCACTGGATGGGGTGTGGGAAGACAGCTCTCATGAGCAGAGCTGACATTTCAATCTGCCTCCCCGACTCTTCAGATGCCTGCAAATTACATCAAGACTTCATCTCCCCCCTTGTCCAACACCCAGCCCTGTCTGGCCCCTGTCAGCCTGGCCCTCCAACAAGTGACAAATTACATTCCAGCTTCTGTAGCAGGCCTGCAAGTGGGTCCTCAAAACCCAGAGGATCAACACAGCACAGCTAGCCCAGGGCTGCCTGGGGAGCTTTATCCCAACCCTCACCCTCAGGCAGAGCTGGGAGCCAGAACCCCTGTCTGGGCCCAAAGAGGGGGTTGCAGAGAACTCAGCTCTAAATTTCCCAAGCTATACAGATTGCCAGAGAAGGGATGGCTCATGGGAACTCAAATCTCAACATCTTGAAAAGGCCAGGGCAGGCCAAGCCAAAATCCACCTCCCCGCTAAATCTAGTGCCCTGGAGCCTGGGAATAAAGATGTCTAGAAGTCTATTTCTGCAGGTGATACTCCCAGGAGACTGGGAGGGGAAAGACACTAACTTGTGCCTCCAGCAAAGCAAGACTCTGCTTCCTAATAGCTGTGTGCCCTTCTCAAAGTTCCTTAGCCTCTCTGAGCCTCTTTTACCACATTGACCACATTTACCACATTTACCAGTCATTGCTGGTGCATCTGCCGCCAGAACAAAATCAGGTGCAGGAAGTTAGAAGTCAAGTTGGATATATTAATCTGTGAGAAACTAGGGGGAGAAATGCCTCTTTGATTTCAATACCTCTGCCTCCTACACCCAGCTCTCTGCTCTTGGATGCATTCTGAGACCCACCTGCACCGTGCTGATCTGGGAACTGCCAAGCCCTCCCTCTCCCCTTGAGGATCCCTGCTGCCTGCATTCAGTACCACTTAAGGCAGAATCGTATGCTGCCTGGCATCTCTCGATAATTACAGATTCCACGTGTGTGAGGCTTGTTTTCCCAACTCTAGCATCACACAATCTCCAAGTTTGAAGGGACCTCATCCAGCCTCCGCCTGCTAGGGATTCCCTGAGGGATGTCCCCAACAGATGGTCAGGCAGCCACAACCTGAATGTGCCTGGGCGGGGAGCTCCTGGAAACTAGGAGGCGGTTTGCCCCAGTATCCTGCCTTGAGCCTTCTCTTCAACACCCCTACCTGATAGTTCCTCTCTGCCAGGGATGGAGCTTCTCCTCCCAGCTGCCTGCTGCCACCCCCCTCCCCTGCCCCGCTCCCTGTGGTCCCTAGAACAAGTCTATCCTCAGTCAAAATCAGAGCAGCCACTCTGAGCCGGGGGTAGCACCTGTGTCTTTGGACCTGACTGGACTCAACATGTCACGCTTGTCAGCTCACAGGGACAGGCCTTCAGAGGCCTGTACCTTCATTCTACCCCTCTGTGCTAAGTCTGGCCTAAGAAGAGGGCATCCCCAATGGGTCTTCAGTGTGTAGATGAAGAGAAGGTGGTCTGGTGGAAAGCCTGGAGAAGAGGGATTTACGGTTTGGTATGGGAAACAGGAAGGCCTGCCTCTCAAGGGAGGAAAAGGGAGAAAGGTAATTCCTGTGCTAATATCCAGAGAGATAGGAACCAGGGGAACTTTTGTAACTGCTCAACAGGGAACTGAGACTGGGAAAACTCTGGAGCTGATTGTTTGTGGGGAGTTTGAACCTTGTCCTCTGAACAACCTGAAGCCACCAATGGGGTTGGAGTGGGAGAGAGGCAAGGTCTGACCATTCTCAGAAAAAGTGAGCAAGAGGAAGAGAAGGAGGAGGAAGAGGAACCAGCTGAGATATTGGAAGATAAGATTCTTAGAAGGGTTTGGTGACTCACTGGGTGCCACTTAACCAGAGCAGGTGGTTCACTCTTGAAGGCCCAACATTTAAATCATTCGATCAGAGCAATGAGCTATAGAACTTAGAGTTTAGGGATCTGTTTCCATTGCTCGAGCACCTCATTCAGACCAGAGTGTGAGTTCATGCATCTGAAGTGGGGTCTAAGGGTTGCCCCGTTTCTTTTCTTTACCCTCCTTCCTCCTTAGGGGTTGGTGTTAAACTTGCTATGTAACCTTAAATTTCTGAACCACCTATATCCGCCTTCCATGTGCTGGGATTACCAGCATACACCACCACACACAGCTTACGTAGCATTCAGCGTTAAACCCCAGGCTGCTTGTACACTAAGCAAGCATCCTGCCAACTGAGCTACATTCCCAACCCATGTGATGTGGATGCTGCTGATCTAGGGGCCATATTTTGAGTAGTAAGCTCTTCCAGGCATGGTGCACTCAAGAGGCTGAGGCAGGAGGATCACGAATTTGAAGCTAGCCTGGAGCCACACAATGAAACTCTATTAAAAGTAATAAAAAATAAAATGAAGCCCAAATAGTGTACTTGTCCAGGAACACGGAGTGAAGATAAGTCCCTCTATTTCTAAGCTCCCAGTCCAGTGCTCTTTCTAGTAACCCATAGCATCTTTGTCCTCTAGTCAGAGTCTGTTGTCCTCTGATTCTTGAATGGAAGCTTGGCACTCGGAAGCATGCTCCGGCATTAAGGGTCTGAAGAACAGGGTGGCTCAAAGGGGCCTCTGCCAGTCAAATGACGCAATCAGAGTGGGTATCATGGCAAGAAGCAAGGCCAAGCTGAGGGGCCAGTAGGGGCCATGTTTGACAGACTATATAGTGCCAGCCAGAGAGTCTGGACCAATCCTGCAGGCTTCATAGATTCAATGGAAAAATACTGGGTGATTTAAACAAGAAAGCCCTGTGATGAACATCAGGGATTGCAACTATTAACAGCTTCAGTTCAGAAAATATTGATGTGAAGGGAGGGATGGGTTAAGTCCTCCAGGCAAGGAGGCTGCTTTGGTGATCAAGGTGAACAATAATAGTGATGAGCTAAGGAAGTGGCAGTCGGGATGGAGTTTACAGATCTGCAGTCCATCTGACAGAGTAAATGACTGATTGGATGCGGGGTACAAAGGAAGAGGCAATGTTTTGGGTGCCCAGATAGTGAGCAAGATTACTGTCAGCAGCTTGGGGAGCTGCTGTTGAGGGAAGAGGTGGCTCACTACAAGGCAGGGCAGGTATGAGGGGTACGTGCAGCATACAATAGGGATGACCAGGGGAAGCTGGGCACATGGGTCTGATATTTAGGGCCTCACACTCCTGGCCAGACCCTCCAGTAGCATGAAACCTACAAATGAGAAAATACAGCCCAGAGGAGGCAGCAGTAGAAAGTAGGTTGGTGCTTTGGCCCTTAACCTCTGTGTGAACTTGAGTAACATGCTTAAATATCTCTGACTTATGAGGAGGTGGGGTGGGCTCTTTCTGTGTGAAGTGCCTAGTTCAGGGCCTCAGGGCTCCAGTGTACAAGAGGTTCATGAGTGAGGCTGATGGAGTCACAGGGTGGCAGGGATCAGGCACAAGAAGTCCTGATAGCCCTGCTCCCTTCTCTCCCATCCACCTGCAGGTGGAGAACATCAGCCTTCAGGAAGGGGACACCATCACTGTGGAGGGCCTGGGGGGGCCTGACCCATTGCCCCTGGCTAACCAGTCTTTCCTGCTGCGGGGCCAGGTCATCCGTAGCCCCACTCACCAAGCAGCCCTGAGGTTCCAAAGCCTTCCACTACCTGTTGGCCATGGCACTTTCCATTTCCACTACCAAGGTAAGGCCTGAGGGACAGAGAGAGAAAGGAGCCAGCCAAGACTGGCTGCTATTCCTGGTGACTTTGGTGTAACAGTCTAGGTCGGGGAAGAGCTGAAGGGACTTGACAATGACCATCTGGAGGTCTTTAGCTAACCAGACTGGCTTTCCTTTCCCACTTGGGATCTAGCCTAGGCCCCATGTGGCAACTCAGACTGCCTCAGAGAAGGAGTGTGGTACATGATGAAATGGGCCACTCTCTGACTGAGGAGCAAATGAACAAACAAACAAAAATAATAATAATAATTTAAAACATTTGATTGAGAATTGCTCTACTTAATTTTGTATTGGTTTGCTTGTTTTGTTTTTCGAGACAGGGTTTCTCTGTGTAGCTCTGGCTGTCCTGAAACTCATTCTGTAGACCAGGCTGGCCTTGAACTCAGAGATTCATCTGTCTCTGCCTCCTGAGTGCTGGGATTAAGGGTGTGTGCCACCACCACCAGGCCTATTGTAGTATTTTTAGAGTCAAGTCCCCACCTTGACCACAATTCTTACTAATTTTGAAAATAATTAAAACTACAGAAAAGTACAAAAACCAAGATGTCTACATACCACACATCAGAATTAGCCAGCATCCTCACATACTTGTTTGCAGTTTTTAGCACATGCCTCAAACGCATACCAGAACACACACACAAACATACAGGACAGTCAGAGGGCAACCTGGAGAAAGTTGTTTTCTTCTTTTACCATGTAGGTTCAGGGGATTGAACTTGGGTTGTTGAGCTTGGCAATAGACACTTTTAACCTAAGAGCCATCTCCCTAGCCCTTGTCTTGCACTGTAGCTCAGGCTGACCTCAAACTCCCCACAACCCTACTGCTTAGGCCTCCTGAGTGTAAGGATTACAGGCCTGAGCTACCACACTGGCTGGAAATGAATGTCTGTCATATGAAATGCTTTCCTACTTCTCCATCTACCCTCAATTCTTTTTCCATCTCTACTCTTCAAAGGCCATCACTATCTGACACTCCCTTTCCTGCTGTAAAATAAGGCTAAACCACAAAAGTTAAACAAAAAGTGCTTAGCATGTCCTCCATTAAGGAAACTGGTGTTGCACTGTTTGCCTGATGAGGGAGGGAGGCAAAGCTGCTGCTTCCCCATAGGGGTCCTTCCTGCCCCTCCCCCTCCCAGGGCTGGAAGTCAGTTCCACACTTTGCACAGGTTAACTTTAATTCAGATCCTGGAGTGCTAATAGGGAAATAATTGGTAGGAACAATCAAGGCATTGTCTTGCATTGGCACAGACCACTTCTGCAGCCCTGTAGTGGGGGAAGAACTGATGGATGGGCAAGCCCTCTTGAGCTAGAGATGCTCGGAGCCTGCCTACTCACCTTGTCAAGGCTTTGTCACCCAGACTGGGGGAGCAGCCTGGTGTGACAGCAGGGATCCTAGTGGTGGGCAGAGGTTGTTCAGGCTCTCAGCAGAGGTAAGGCCCCACCCAGGGTAGGGATGACCGCCTGGGCAGCCCCTCCAGCCTCCCTAATGGCTCATCAATCCTCCTTGGCAGCAGGCATAATTTCATGCCACAGTAACCTTTTCTCTTGCTGCAAATTCCTTTGCACAAAACTCGAGTCCCCTCTTTGTGCGGCCAGACAAAAGTGGCAGAATGCAATGGGGCTGGAGGCGGAGCAAGAGGGAGGAGATCCCTAGGAGAGACTAGGAGAGCTGGCCCGGCCCGCTCCTGCTCTTTGTCCCAGAAGCCCTCCCTCCTCTGCCCAGTTTTTGTCAATGATCAGCTCTTTCCTTAATGAGTGTAATTCCCCTAATTATAGGCTGTAATTAGCCCTGATCCCAGAGATGGGAACAGGAGGGGCGTGTGCTCACGGGCACTTCTTGTGGGCTGGAGAAAAAGATGCCAGGAGATTGAGTGAGGGCCGAGAACCACGCCTATGCAGGCGCTGTCCAAGCTGATGAAGGAGGTCACAGTTATGAGTTTCTACACAGGCCTTGTGGCAGGTTAGACTCCTCTGGCCCTGGCCCAGGCTGGGTGGGGAGGCAGAGTGCCTGATCGGCCCCTCCCTCCTCCATCCAAGCATTCCTGGCACTGGACTTGGCTCCAGAAACAGCCCACAGCAAGAAAATAACTCAACAGATTGTGGTGGTGCAGACTCCCTGGGAACAGTTGGTTGTCATGGCAATAGGAGGAAGCTCATCTTGGGAAGTGGCACTTACCCATTATGGAGTCTGGGGGCGCCTCTCAATGCCACTAGCCTCCTGCTTTCACATCATCCCAGCCCACTCCCTTCCCTGGTTGTGCTGGGATTTGCAGGGAAGATGAAAGTTCAGGTGCTGAATCTGACACCTGGCCTACGGCTCCCAGGGTGTCAGCTCTTCATCCCTCTGCTCTGGGTATAGTCCTCCCTATCCTAGCCTAGGGGGAGTAAGTGACCTGCTGAACAACCTCCAAGGCCAGCCTTGTCTGTTTCTCTCAGGTTTCTCTGACCCCTTGGGCCAGGGTTCCATATTAACTGGGACCAGGTAGGAAGCAGGGGGCTTTGAGGAACTCAAATCCCTACCCATCATGCACTTGCAGTATGACAAGGGTACACAGGCTCTCTGAACCTCCGTCCCTCCAAACCTCAGGTTTCCTTTTCTTAAAATGGGTCAACAGCCCCTACCTTTCTTTCTTTCATGTATATTACAGGTACTAAGTGAGAAGGGTGTGAAGGCACGTGAGGAGCTGGAAAGTACAGCAAATGCTTACATAGGACTCGTGACTGCAAACATTAGCAGTCGGCTGGAGTGTTAGGTATGTGCTTTGTGCCAGGCACTGCACATATGGCCTCTCACTTAACCTGCCCAGCATTGGTTGCGATACTCTAAATCACTGATTAAACAAAGGAACCAAGGCGTGGTGCAAAGGCATAACTTGCCCAAGGTAGCACAGCAAGTGGTGAAGTCTGCATGCAAACCCTACAGAGTCCTAGTTGAGTTAAACCCAGAGCCCATCTCCTAGGCATTGCCCTGTAACACCTGCCATTCACAACTAGCCTCTTATGGTCACACCCTCAGAACTCTCTTCTGTTTTCACATAGTAACTAAGAATAAGACAGGTGTGAAAAGCCTCAAAACTGAGTCACAGTCACCTCGAGCTTTGGAACCTCAGCTACCCAAAGGTAGCCCCTTTTTCTTGTCACATAGAGCCACACAGAGACACAGCCAAGCCTTCTCAGCACTCCTCTCTGCTATTATTCCAGGCGCGCCTGCCTCTTAGACTTAAGCCAGACTCCCCATTTATAAGCCATTTCTGGGATTTAGCCTAAGAGTTGGGGTTTATCACGCAATTTTATGGGACTTGCTGCCACTCTATGGTCATATATGGTATAACAACTCCAAAAGCAACCAAATTTCCCAGAGTGGGCTAATACCACCTCCAATTTTCAAGAAGTGTGACTTTCTCACACCCCTCCCACTGTCTTTCAAAGTCATTTACTGGTCATGACTCATAGTAATGTCAGAAGCTACACCAATAAAGTCTAACCAATACCACTGCCTAAATATGAGCTAAACAAGGACAACAATAGACATGCCAAAATAGACAGGGCAAAGACCACCATACACAAAGGGCTACAGGCAACTAGGGAATGCTGAGAGGGGAGAGACAGTCTTCCCCAGGGAAGAACACGGCAGTTGGTTAGCCAATACCAAATGGTCAGCCCCGAAAACATACATACAAGTAACATTATACAGACTGACAAAGTCATGTTTAAGAATATATATGTGTCAGGTGGTGGTAGTGCGCATCTTTACCCAGCACTCAGGCGGCAGAGGTAGGCGGATCTCTGTGAGATCGAGTCCAGCCTGGTCTACAGAGTAAGTCCCAGGACAGTTAGGTCTGTTACACAGAGAAACCTTGCTTCAATGTGTGTGTGTGTGTGTGTGTGTGTGTGTGTGTGTGTATGCATGTATGTACGTACGTATATGCTTATACATGCATGCATCTAACAATTAATGAAAAAAAGGTTATGGGCTTGAAAGAGAGTAAGGAGGGGAATGTGGGAGGGTTTGGAGGGAGGAAAGGGAAGGGAAAATGATGTAATTATATCATCTCCAAAATAAAGCCAGGTAGTGGTGGAGCATGCCTTTAATCCCAGTATACAGGAGGCAGAGCCTCAGCCTGGTCTACAGAGCAAGCTCCAGGACAGCCAGGCCTACACAGAGTTGGGAGTTGGGGTGGGAGTAGTAGTAGAAAGGAATCCCACAGAGAAAGCTTAGGCAGGCTGTCCAATGTGTTACTGGCCTTGGACCAGAATCTTGGCCTCCGAGTCCTCTGTAGTTCCCCTGCAAGGGAACAAATGGGACACTTCTGTAGAACTTTGAAAGATTCCTCTGAAGCAGGTTGTGCAGGCTCTTCCCGTCTTCACTGCCACCCATCCTCTTTTATAGCCTATCTCCTGAGCTGCCACTTTCCCCGACGTCCAGCTTATGGAGATGTGACTGTCACCAGCCTCCACCCAGGAGGCAGTGCCCGCTACCACTGTGCCACTGGCTACCAGCTGAAGGGTGCCAGGTTCCTCACCTGTCTCAATGCCACCCAGCCCTTTTGGGACTCCCAAGAGCCTGTCTGCATTGGTGAGTGGGTCCCCACAGAAAAGCCTGGATGCCAAGAAGAGGAATGAAGTGGGGGTCATTTCAGATCTCCATTGATGTCTGGAACTTCCCCTTATTTCTATAAGGAAGCCAGAAGATGGTTGCACATCTCAGTGGTATTGAGCCAACCTACATTTTTTTTTCTTGGCTTTTTGAGGCAGGGTTTCTCTGTATAGTTTCAGAACAGGTTCTGAAACTCTGTAGAGTTTCTGTAGACCAGGCTGGCCTAGAACTCACAGAGATCTGCCTGCCTGTGCTCCTTAGTGCTGGGATTAAAAGTGCTTGCACCACTGCCCAGTGAGCCAACCTACCCTTATTATCCATTATGTCAGCATCACAGGCCGGGCTCAGAGTTGGTTTTCCATGTTGGGTGAGCAAGATGAATTCATGAATGTAGAGAAAAGACAGGACCAATGTGCCTTGGCAGACTGCTAGCCACAGCTGGCCTCAGATACCCTCTGCAGTAGCTCTCTGCATCACAATACTGCCTTAGAAGGTGAGGAGCCAAGAAGGGGTCTGAGTCGAACAGAGCTTCTCCCCTCAGAGCCCCAATAGTTCCAGGGAACAGGGAAAGGAGAGGGGGCCTGGAGATGCTGGAAAGATGGTTCTGTAGTTAAGACTATAAGCTATTCTTGTAGAGGACCTGCGTTCTATTCCCACCACACAACCAGGCAGCTCACAGATGCCTGTAGCTCCAGTTAGGGGATCCATCACCCTCTTCTGGTCGCCACAAGCACTGCACTTACTTGTACAAGCTCACACTCAGACATATGTATATACATACATACATATATCTTTTAAAATAATAAATAAACCAGAAGCATAGATCACTAATTCTAAAGAAGGGAGTAAAAGGTACCAAGGCAGAGTCATAAAGTGGCTGGCATGGTATTCACAACTGCAATCCTGGCACCCAAGAGGCTGAGGCATGAAGGACAGCTTGAGCTACATAGACCTTGTCAAAGGGTGGGGGTTGAACTGACCTGGGGAGAAAGCAACCACTCATTCCCAGTTGGTATTGAGACAGCTCCCTCAAGGAGGTAGCACTGAAGGTTTGGCATTTCCATGCAGGGAACAACGTGGACAATGATAGAGGGGCAGGAAAGAGAGGGTGTTTAGAGCATGGGAGACAGCCAGGTGGAGTGGACAGTGGGAAGGACCTGGACTGCCAGTCCAAGACACCAGGTGCACAGTTGTTGTATTTTTTGAGGAAAGGGGAGGAAGTCAGAACTGCTCCAGAGAGCCAGCCATGGTTGTCTGAAGGCTGGGAGGCCATCCTGTAGCGGGGATTTGAACTGGGTGTAGTGGCTTTGGGAATGGAGAGGAGGGAAGTTCCGAGACACTGATGACAGAATGAGGCTGAGTGACACCAGCTCTGGTTCCTAGTCCCTAAGATCTGAGATGGCTACAAACCCAGAAGGCTCGTGGAGGAAGTTTTGGGTTTGCCACATGACAGACAACTCTAGCTTTTGTCTCTTTGGGGGAAGAGACTTGGGCTTTTATGTCATTTTATATTCTTCCTAGTGCTGATCACTAAAAGACATATTCTCTTGCCTCCAAGGAGCGCCATCTAGTGGGGAGGCTGGGGAGTGGTTTAGTGTAGACAACACTGGAATGGGGTGATCTCAGTGTGGCCGGTATATGGGCAAGAGTGATCAGTTCCAAACTGAGGAGACCAGGAGGGCTTCCCACAGAGATGTCCTGGAGAGCTTCCAGAAACATTAGCTCAGGGCACTTTAGTGGATTCCGTGGGAAGGCCTGCATTAACATGGTGGTCTAGTAAGATATACCTGAAGGTTTGAAGGCATGCAGAAACAGAATGATCTAGTAGGGTATGCCTGAAGGTTTCAAGGAGGGAAGGCTGAAAAGGGAAGGAGAGAGTTGCAGTCATAATGAGCTAGAACGTCATCTGAAGGGCAATGGTGAACTACTGGGTGACTAAGTCAAACATGGGGTGGGGTTCTTTTTGAAGACAGTTCCATGCTGAGACCTAGCAGAAAGTTAGGTTGCTCCTCTGTAGAACACAAGAGACAAGACTTATCCCAGGCCCCAGATCTAGACTGATTCTTTTGCTTTCTGAAGGCTTTGAAGGAAATGGTGCTCTCTCTATACGGACCATGATAGTCTGGCCTCCAAGAGCTGTGTGTCAGGGAAGAGCCAGAACTGCATGGAAGCAGCTTCCTGCTTCAGGCCCCTTTCTTGGCCCCACACACCTTCTGTGAATTCTGTGCTGGAATGTCTCAGAAACCACCACTACTGAACCCACACAAGGAGCTCAGCCTTTCCTTGGGGGAAGAAAAGGCAGTCCCAGCCAGAGGGGTCAGTTTGAGAGTTCCTTAGCATCAGCCAGTGAATGGCAGTGTTGTGATGTCTGGAGAGCTACTGCAGAAGGTATCTGAAACCAGCTGTGGCTAGTGATCTGCCAAGGCATATTGGTCCTGTCTCTTCTCTATATTCATGCATTCATCTTGCTCACTCAACATGGAAAACCAACTGGAAGCCCAATCTAAAAAGACATGGCCTCTACTGGGCATTGGTAGTGCACGCCTTTAGTCCTAGCAGGCGTGCTAGGAGGCAGGCGGATCTTTGTGAGTTCAAGGCCAACCTGACCTACAGAGTGAGTTCCAGGACAGCCTCCAAAGCTTCACAGAGAAACCCTGTCTCAAACAAAACAAAACAAAACAAAAATCTCCAAAACCAACCAAACAAAAAAAAAAAACAAACATGGTCTCTGAACCAAGTGGGTCCTAGTTATGGCAGAATCAGAGTCAGCCTCCTGAAGAGGTCGGTAGAGGGAAAAGAAGCTTGCCCCCAGCCACGCAGCCAGGTAGCAACAGATCTGGTCACTGCCAAGAAAGCCACACTTCCAGCCTTAGAGATGGCGGGTGATCTGCAGGCAGGATTCCGAAGTTTGGGCTGCTTGGAGCTGCAGAGTCAGGATGCAAGACTGGCTTTCAGAGTCACCATGCTGAGGGTACAGGGCCACGGTGGGGAAGAGGCTTTGGAGGATGTTTAGAACAAAGGCAGGGACCGAGCGCGTAAGTTCATTGTCACCCACAGCTGCATGTGGCGGAGTGATTCGAAATGCCACCACTGGCCGCATTGTCTCTCCCGGCTTCCCGGGCAACTACAGCAACAACCTCACCTGCCACTGGTTGCTGGAGGCTCCTGAGAGCCAGCGGCTGCACCTGCACTTTGAAAAGGTCTCCCTGGCGGAAGATGACGATAGGTGAGGGGCTGTCCTGGCTGGATGGGAGTGCCTGACCCTACACTGTTGGTGGTGGGGTGGGGGGGAGCCAACCACACAGCTGCCGCTCTTCTGGCCCAGGCTCATCATCCGCAATGGGAACAACGTGGAGGCCCCACCGGTGTACGATTCCTACGAGGTGGAATACCTGCCCATTGAGGGCCTGCTCAGCTCTGGCAGACACTTCTTTGTGGAGTTTAGTACTGATAGCAGCGGGGCAGCTGCAGGCGTGGCCCTGCGCTATGAGGGTGAGCCTGCTGGAGCGCAACCAGAGAGCTAGACTCTTTCTCCCCTACCTTCCCCTCTCTAGCTGCATTCTGTCACTCGTTCCAAGTTCAGCACCTGCTTCCTGCCCCTTCCTTCCAGTCCAAGATTCCCATCCCATCTTTGCAGGAGACCTTGTCTTAACCACAGATTTCTAGCCCAAGAGAATGAATTCTCCAGGATTAAAAAAAAAAAAAAAAAAAAAAAAAAAAAAGCAAATCAGGCCTCAACACTGGGTGTGGGGGTGAAGTGGGATTATTGCTGGAAGCGGCATTCTAGACCCACACATACATGCACGTGCTCTTTACTCATCAAAAAGGTACCGAGCACCTTCTGTGTAGGATACACACTGGCACTGAGGAAGAAAAGCCCTGAGGAGGGCAGTAGGAGAAGAGCTGGCCTCTGGCCTACCCCAGTGGAGGCTGAGCTGGGCTGGGCCCTGTGGTTCACAGCCTTTCAGCAGGGCCACTGCTATGAGCCCTTTGTCAAATACGGCAACTTCAGCAGCAGCGCACCCTCCTACCCTGTGGGTACCACTGTGGAGTTCAGCTGTGACCCTGGCTACACCCTAGAGCAGGGCTCCATCATCATCGAGTGTGTGGACCTCCATGACCCCCAATGGAACGAGACAGAGCCAGCCTGCCGAGGTCAGCAGGCACCAGTGGGTGGGTGGGTCTGCCAGGGCAGCAAGCAGGGTGGGTGCCTAGGAGCCGGCCACAGAGCCAGGGGCCAGAGGCCCTGTTGTGTATAATTGATGTTTCTCCTTGAGGGAGGAGGTGGGGACCCCTAGCAGTAGGGTGGGCACTTTTGGGGGCAGGTGGTAGCCCCAAGACACCATATTGGAGAGAACGGGCCTTCCTGGCCTCCCCTTCCTTGCAGCTGTGTGCAGCGGGGAGATCACGGACTCTGCAGGTGTGGTGCTCTCTCCAAACTGGCCAGAGCCGTATGGCCGCGGGCAGGACTGCATCTGGGGTGTGCACGTGGAGGAGGACAAGCGCATCATGCTGGACATCCGAGTGTGAGTGCCTCGGGTCAGGCAAGCAGGCTCCTGAGGCTGGGAACACCTCTTGTCCAGCCCACCTTGGGCCCTTCCCCCAGCCTGTCCTGCCCTGACCCTCCTCCTCTACAGGCTGCGCATAGGCTCTGGGGATGTACTGACCTTCTACGATGGGGATGACCTGACAGCCCGGGTTCTGGGCCAATACTCAGGGCCCCGTGGCCACTTCAAGCTCTTTACCTCCATGGCTGATGTCACCATCCAGTTCCAGTCAGACCCTGGGACCTCAGCGCTAGGCTACCAGCAGGGATTTGTCATCCACTTCTTTGGTGAGCTTGTCTCTGTCTGACTTGGATTGTAGATTCCCAAATCATGGCAAGTCAAAGAGAGGGCAACAAGGAGCCTGGATGCTCATTCTGATGAGCAAAACCTGGGAAGGCACCAGGCATCACCACGAGCATTTGGTTAGAGCAGGAGAGATTTGGGAAGGCAGCAAGAACTTCCTAACTACAGAAAGTGTTGGTGCCTTCCTTCCTGGCAGTCTTGAACAGAAGTGATTCCCTTCACCGTCACCCTGCTTTACCCATCTCTCAGGCCTGAGGAGCTGGCCAAGTGCTTCTGAGAGTCAACAAAGCCAAGATGACAATCCTGAAATCTTGGAGACTCAGCAATGTCAGGGGATGAGGGTGGGGCTTCAGAAGGGAGGATTAGTTACTGAGTCTTTCCAAGCCAGTCTAGGCTCAGGATAATTTGCAGGAACCAAAGGGACCTAAGAGTTGGTACTGGCCAAGGGGCTGCATCTCCCTGCTTCTGTGTCCCCAGAGGTGCCCCGAAATGACACATGCCCCGAGTTACCTGAGATCCCCAATGGCTGGAAGAGCCCGTCACAGCCTGAGCTGGTACATGGCACAGTGGTCACCTACCAGTGCTACCCTGGCTACCAGGTGGTGGGATCCAGTATTCTCATGTGCCAGTGGGACCTGAGCTGGAGTGAGGACCTGCCCTCATGCCAGAGGGGTGAGTGTGCCTGTCCCCATAGGCCCGCCTACCTTGACTCCCAGGTTCTAAGAGAAAATCTGGCCCTGGTCCTGTTTCTGCTAGCATTCTTGTTCTTCTGACTTGTCCCCTCAGTCTCCTTATCTGTGAAATGGAGATGATCCATTGTCACAGGACTTCCAGATAAGTACTGCATTTATTTCCTGGCTGACTTATGACCAGACTGTGCTTGCATGGGAAGGGAATGTATGGCTTTGTTGACCTCAATGGGTGGGAAAAGGATACATCAGCAAAATGGTAGGCACAGTCAGGCATGGTGTGTCACATTCCTGGAACCTCAGCATTCAGGAAGCTGAGGCAGGAGGATCAAGGATTTGAAAACTGCCTGAGGTATAGTGTGAGGCATTTATCTCCCTCCAAAAGGTACCAGGTGGGGGTGTGGCTGAGTGGTTAAGAGAACTTAGTGCTCTTGCAGAAGACCCAGGTTTGGTTCCCAGCACTCACATCAGGTAGCTCATAGCCACCTGTAGCCAGTTCCAGGGGATCCAACACCTTCTTCTAGCCTTGGTGGGCATCTACATTTATGCAGTACACATAAACGACACATACACACACACACACACATACATAAATTAAAAAAAAAAAAACAAAGCGAGAAAACAAAAAAGGGCTAGAGATGTACCTCGGTGGTAGAGTACCATTTGGCATACATGCTGTCCTGGGTTCTAGCACTGCCAAAAAAGAAAGATGTAGACATTCAAGTGACAGTAGAGTCATGAAGCCTGGTAGTAGCTGGCCTGTGACAGCTACTTTTGAGGAAAACCAGGGTGACCAGGCCTTTCTTTTGTCCCACTCCCACAGTGTCTCTAGCCTAGACTGGCCTCAAGCTCCTATGAAACTGAGAATTACTTTGAATTTCTGATCCTCCTACTTCCACTTTCTTAGTGCTGGGATTGCACCCACCTTCTGGAGTGCTGGGGTTACAGGCATGCACCTCCAGGCCGGGTTTATGTAGCTGTACCGTCAGATGCTGAGCCTTCCCTGCCTTCCTCCTCCCTTGTCCATCCATAGTGACATCCTGCCATGACCCAGGGGATGTGGAACACAGCCGACGCCTCATATCCAGCCCCAAGTTTCCTGTGGGGGCAACTGTGCAGTACATCTGTGAGCAGGGTTTTGTGCTGACGGGGAGTGCCGTCCTCACCTGCCACGATCGTCAGGCTGGCAGCCCCAAGTGGAGTGACAGGGCCCCCAAATGTCTCTGTAAGTGTCAAATGTGTAGGAGGGGGCCCTTTAGAAGGAGAGGGACCTGATACCGTCACCTGACTCTGCCTGCCTTGCAGTGGAGCAGTTCAAGCCATGCCATGGCCTCAGAGCCCCTGAGAATGGTGCCCGCAGTCCTGAGAAGCGGCTTCACCCAGCAGGGGCCACCATCCACTTCTCCTGTGCCCCTGGCTATGTGCTGAAGGGCCAGGCCAGCATCAAATGTGTACCTGGACACCCCTCGCACTGGAGTGACCCCCCACCCATCTGTAGGGCTGGTGAGTGCCACTATTCCCCGAAAATCCCTTCTGGACCATAGAATTACTGTAGTAAAGCAATTCCATGTTGAGAATTGGAAGCACCTGCCCACCCCCCTCTCCTGTCCCCCAGTCTCTTCGTGTCTCTGATTGAACATCACTAAGGCAATGCAGGAGTGGGCTCTCCCTGATCAATTCCTCCCGCATGACCAGTCCACTTCTGTGCTCCTTGCATTGGTGATTTGGTTCATCAGGCTTACCCACTGCCCTTGGCCCTCCCCTCTTGTTCCAGCCTCTCTGGATGGGTTCTACAACAGCCGTAGCCTGGATGGTGAGTCCCCATGCTTGAGAGCCAGATATGTGGTCCTCCTGTACCTGGTTCCCACAGCTCCCAGGCTGTGGGTTCCCACAAATGGAAGGCAGAGAAAGAACAGCTTGGGCCTAGCAGGACATAAAGCTTCTTCCCTACCCTCACCAGCTAATGAAGTCTGGTCTCTGAATGCCCTTGAGATGGGAGGGGACATAGGTCCCAAGGGACAGGGACATCAGCTCCAAACCTACCCACCCTTTGCTTTCAGTGGCCAAGGCACCTGCTACCTCCACTGCCCTGGATGCTGCCCACATGGCAGCTGCCATCTTCCTACCACTGGTAGCCATGGTGCTGCTGGTGGGAGGTGTGTACCTCTACTTCTCCAGGTGAGTCTGGCTTCTCTTCCTGTTTTATATGACCCACTCACTCCTGCCCTGCACTCCTGCCTCACAGCTCCTCTGTCCTCACAGGCTCCAGGGGAAAAGTCCCCTGCAACTTCCCCGAACTCACCCTCGCCCCTATAACCGCATCACGGTGGAGTCAGCATTTGACAACCCAACCTATGAGACTGGAGTAAGTATCCACGTTAGCCTAGATCCCTCTTCAGGACTCAGTTCTTTACCCCCTTGGGTGGGTATGCCTGTGGGTCCTGCCCAGCCCCCCTTTCACTTTGGGAAGGTGGATTCTGGCCCAACAAATCTTTTAAAAGTTTCCAACTCCCCGCAGTCTCTTTCCTTTGCAGGAGACGAGAGAATATGAAGTTTCCATCTAGGTGGGAGCCACCCGGGGACACACATCAGCCCAGCATCACAGGCCAGTGGCAGGGCTCCTGGCTCTCTGCTGTCCCTTCACCTCCTGTACATACCACCTGGGAAGAGACAACACCAATCCCTCAAGAGACTGTGGCCTTCCCTCCTGCAATGCCCACAGTGACCTTCTTTCTTGGCACCACTGCCCACTTAGGGCGCTTCTTTGGTCAAGCCAGGGGGCACTTGACTTGTAGAACACAGCTGGGGCACATTTCCACCAGCCAACATTCGAAGCTGCAGGCAGAGCAGGGGCACTTTCTACACATAGCCACAGTCACTGTCCAGCCCTGGCATGTGGGGACTCTAGAAGAGCTCATTTGCAGCTGTGGAAATGGAACCAGGGTGCCCCTCACAAGGCCATGACAAATGGCCAAAATTGTTCTCAATGGTAACCTCTTGGTAGTCCTGGCATGCCAGTACCAGCCCCTCAGGGAGGTTTCTAGTCCTTCTCCAAATGCTCAGAATTGGAGTTATGCCTTCTTCCCTATCCCAGGGAGGTGATGATTTTAAGAATCCTAAAAGGTTCAGGGACTCTGTCTCAAGCTCAGGTCCGGCTTCACTGAACACTCATGCTCCACACCAAAGCAGGACACCCTACTGCTCCCAGATGATGGTCCCTCTACTCTGAGGAGGGAGAGAGCTTTCCTGATGTGTATCTGGCTGTTACAAATGCCCCCTTTCCCACCAGTCACTCTTCTAACCCACTTACCATGCCCCTCCCTGCCACTGTGTTATGGCATGCCAGGAGAGCACAGGTACATTCTGGAGAGGAGCAGAAGTCCAAGGACCCAGGAATGTGGCACAGAACTGAAGTCAGAAATCCCCAGGAGGAAGCCCAGCCCGGACTGAAGGCCACTTTGTACATATGATGTATTATATGGGGTCTGGGCTCCAGCCAGCGAACAATCTTTTATTTCTGTTGTTTCCTTATTAAAATTGTGTTTTTGGAAAAAAAAAAAAAACTAAGCAGTGTGAATGGAGCTTTCTTGGAGGGAAGAGTGGGGGTAGACAAATGTGATGCGGATCATGGCATGCAAAGACCTGCTGGACCCACCAATCAGCCATCCCCAGATACTATGAGAAAAAAAAAATGGTGTATGTAGTTAATTAGGAGGCAACAGTGCTCCAAAGACATCAGGGTTACAGATGGCTGGTGAAGTGAGAGACCTCAGTGGTTAATGCCACAGGGAAATGGGAACTCAGTATCTCAAGAGCTCATCCACCCCAATGCCTCATTTCCTTCTCTTTGTCAGGGCTAGAACTACAGATTGGCCCAGTCCTAAACCCCCTTTAATATTGCTGGACTGCTAGCAGGGCCCAAAGTCTGATAAATCTTTCCTTCTACTTCTTCCTACCAAGTGAAGCTTGAGAGACTGGAATTAGAACCATAATCTGAACCCTTGTACATAAACCGCCTAGCTTGGCTTGGCCTCAGAAAACATTCAGACTGTGAGCAGGAGGGACAGGCAAGAGCCCTGCTAATAGGCTCTTCAAAGTGGCTGATGAAAGCATGTACACAAGTAACATTATACAGACTGAGCAGGTTGTACTTATGTATTTAGGTGTGTGTGTGTAGTCATGTATGTGACAATTAATTTTAAAAGATGTCATGAATTTGAAAAAGAGCAAGATGGGATATATAAGGGGAGTTGGAAGGAGGGAGGAAAATGAGGAGATTTGATATAATTATATTATAATCTCAAAAAAAATTTTGGGTGGTGATGGTGCATGCCTTTAATCTCAGCACTTGGGAGGCAGAGGTAGGTAAATCTCTGAATTTAAGGCCAGCCTGATCTATAGGATAACTAGGGCTACACAAAGAAATCCTATCTAGAAAAATCCAAAAGAATAAAAATAAAAATAAAGACTGGGCATGGTGGCTCTCACCTTTAATCCCAGCCCTTGGGAGGCAGAGGCAGGTGGATCTCTGTGAGTTGGAGGCCAGCCTGGTCTACAGAGTAAGTGCCAGGACAGCCAGAACTGTTTACACAGAGAAGCACTATTTTTAAAAACCAAAACAAACAAATAGATAAATGTTAAAGAAGTGGTGGCTGGCCAGGATATATTTAAATTTGCCCCCTTCCCTATAACCCCTAAAGCCTTCAGAGATGAAGGTATCTTCCCTGGGGGCAGGCAACAAAGAATTATGGGCTAAAAACACAAAACTCCCTGAAAGAAAGACCAGCATCCACTAGCACCTTCTGCTTCTACAGTCTTCAACGGGTAGATGTGGGCCAGAAATTTCTCTGAGTCTCTGGCTCTATGCAGCAGAGGTCTAGGGGTTCCCGTGCATTTACAGTGCAATACTTATATTGACCACAAGAGGTCACTTCCAAATTCTTCTGCATCCCACCTGCTCTTTTTCCTGGAGTCCCTTTGAACACCCTGAGATGGAACTCTCCAAGGTGGCACCAAGTCCTGCCTTTACTGGGCTGGCCTCATCCTTCAGGCTCCAAAAGAAAGGTCTGTGGAATGATTTGTTCCTCTGGCACCTGTCAACAGAGCCAAGTCTCCTTAGCCCACTACCCGCCTCTGTTTTCAGCTGCAACGGATGTGTTGATCAAAGCAAAGCCTTGCTCACTGGGCATGTGCCAGCCACTCACTCTGCCCAGTAATACCTTCAGGCTGACACAGCAGCACAGCTGTACTCTGGGCAGTAGGAAGGAAGCCAATGAGAAAGGGCATATGAGGTTCCAACTTCTGTGGTCATGTGGCATGAAGGAGGCATAAAGCTTGACCTCTTTGTCTCTCAGCCTGCTCCTCTGAGAGCTACTCCTATAGCTACTAATCTATTGTTAGCCGTGGCCACGACATAAGTCAGAGAGCAGCCAATCTGCATGGCATTCTCCACTTCCCCATGACCTTATTCTTTCTAAGCACCAACACTGGGCCACCAAAGAAATACAAAATTACAAACACACCCAAAACTTCACACAGTTATTCATATTCTTTTTGACTTATTCTGACTGTCCTAAAAGGATGAGCATCAGTTCCTCAGAGACAGTAAACATGGTATAGTGGACAAAGCCTGACCTATGAATCAAGAAATGTTTCCTTTTTAGATTTGCTATAAACTCACTATGAAACCTAAGCAAATCACGAGTTTAAATCAAATACTCCCTATGTCCTTTCCAGTTTTACGACTCTGAGAATGATGTGTGCAGTAATATAAAAAATGAGTTTAGGTGTCAGGCGATAGTGGCGCACGCCTTTGATCCAAGCACTTGGGAGGCAGAAACAGGCAGATCTCTGTGAGTTTGAGGCCAGTCTCGTTTACAGAGCAAATTCCAGAACAGCTGTTACACAGAGAAACCCTGTCTCGGAAAAAAAAAAAAAAAAAAAAAAAAAAGTGTAGGAACAGCCACACATAGTAGCAATAGCAGCACACGTTAAAACCATAAATGGGACCAAGGACAAAGGCAGTCGGATTTCTTTGAGTTCATGGCCAACCTGGTCTACATAGTGAGTTCTAGGCTAGCTAAGGCTACAGAGTTAGGCTCTGTCTTTGAAAGAAAGGGAGAGAAGGAAAGGGAGGGAAAAAAGAAGAAATGTAGGACACAGTTGCATTGTCACAAATATTAATTAACGCCTGGTGGGGTTCATTTATCCAGTTTCCTTCTCAATTGCTTCACCTGCAGCTAGTCGGAAGTTGCCTGTCCAAATCGGAAAGCGATAACAAGAGGATTAACAGCGCACACCCAAAGAGAAGCACGGTCTCTCTACCCGAAATTCTGAGGTAAGAGGCTCAAACTACAAATCCCAGTACCCTTCTCAGCAGCTCCCCCCACGCCCCATTACAGCCTACGGCAAAGTGCAGCGTCTGCAAATGAAACTACAATTCCCACAACTCATCAGACGCATCGCGATTCTTACTCCCAAGGTGCAATGCGTTCCCGTTCACCCTTGAACACTGCGCGTTGCAAGTTGGGGATTGAAGTCAACTGCAGGCAGGTAGCTGGGCGTTGTCAGGATTACGGACTGTTTGGGCTTTCGACTTCCTCATTTGGAGTGGGTCTCAGGGACAATGGTTAAGCCAGGATAGTAAGAGACAGCTTGAACCATCCTTGGTTCCATCGCGACGTGAGGCGGCGATATTCGTGCTAAAATTAAGTGTCGAGAGCGGGAGTTAAGCGGAAACAGTAGCCATCCAAACCGCCACCCAAAGCGTCCTTTTTTTTGTCGCAATGGCTTTTTTTTTTTCCTTTACCAATATGGCGGCCTGCTCCAGCCACACCTGATGCTGGAACCAAACAATCCACTACAACATCCCTATGAGTACTACTGCCGCCGACAGCATACTAGCTCCATACAACATCAAATCTTGGTGACTGAGGACTCCAAGGGCATGGTAGCCCAAATCCCATTACCAAAATGGCGAAAGGAGAAGCTTTCTTGTACAGGCCGCCAGGTGACAATACGCCTGCGCGTGAGGCGGGTGTGTTGTTAAGGGACGGGAGGGTGGTAACCCAACACGCCTGCGCGGGAACAGAGACCAGGGTCTGCACACAAACACCAATGGGTGAAGCGTCCCCAAGTTCGTGCGGCTGCGCCATGACCCCTACGCGCTTTCCCAGGCGCCTGAGCGAGGCCTTAGGTCCCGCCCTTTTATCTCAGTACGCTGGCGCAGGGCAGAAAGGCGGTGCTTTTGGGCTCCAGGCGAATGCCAGCGCGGCTGCGCGCAGGGGGTACCCCATCACCGCGGCTGCGCGGGAGCCAGGCCGCCGGCTGTCACTGCGGTTGCGCGCGGCGAGCGGCGATCCCGGGGCGCCTGCGCGGGTGGCTTTGCGGGCGCTCGCGGTAAGTTTGCGCCAAGTGCGCGGCAGCCGGGACGCAGACGGCGGCGGCGGCGAGAGGCGGAGCCCGGGGACCACCCCCCATCATCCTCCCCCGAGTCACCTCACGTACCACAACCTCACCTAACCTCTCACCCCCCTCCGGTCCCTCAACCCCGGGATGGCAGCGCCCTCCAGCCTTCCCGGCC